CGCTGAGCTCGAGCGCATTCGAGCCGAGGAGCCTGATCGGTACGCAGATCTCCTGGAGAAAGGGAAGGACGCAACCGCTCGGTATCGCCTCCACGGCGTCGGCAACCCCTTTGGGCCCACTAAGAGGCAGCGGCACCGCGCTGAACTCAAGGAAGCCGCGCAAGCTGCATCGCTCCTCGATGGCAGCGTTGGCGCAGGAGCCTCTGGACAACTCGTGAGGTTTGTGCCAGGGGCGGAACTGGGGTTATCTTCTTGGACAGCCGTCACACAGACGATGGCGACGGCCAGGGCTGCTAAGAAGTCTGAGACGGCAGCGAGAACTGCCCGCACCGAGCGGCTCGAGGAGTATATGAACAGCCAACTGGACGTCATCAGCTCGCGGTTTCCTGGCTTTGCAGACTCCGACATGCCTGCCTCGGACGTTATACCAACGCCTGCCTTGTCGGAACTGTTCACGCATTGGGAGTTCAGCCCCGTTGCCTTGCTTGAAAAGGCGAAGGAGATTACTGCCCTCAGCAACTTCACGCCTCTGGGCAGGAGCGTTCACGAGGCTATCTTGCGCGAGTGGTCACGCATGCACGAAGTGGTGAGCCGCGGTGATGGAAGGGAGCCTCTTCCAGATCGCGACAAGAAGCCCGCGTGTTCAATCTATGGCATGTGCTTGTGCAGAGGTGACGGCTTGGGGTGGTGGAACATGCGGGGAAATTATCGCAAAAAAGGCTTGGGGCAAAGAGTTCAGTCCTTCGCTTCGCCCTGTAGCTCGCCAGATGGTTGTCGACGCCAGAGTATTCGCCGTGTTCGTTGCCACTTCCCTCGTCTCAGACCCTGCCGAGGGGCAGCCGAAAGTGGTCAGCCATTGGTGGTGCCACATTGCCAAGCAACAGATTTCGCCTCACAAAGCAATGCTTCATATCATGGACGGTTCATGCGTGGCCTTTGATGCAGACTGCGTTGTTGCTCCTGGGCAGGAAATCACGCTGCGCCCTCGCGCAGAGTTCCAGAACGATGTCCAGGCCATGAATCGGGTGGATCGTTCTTTCAAATGGATGGTGGCTTATTTCGTCATGAAGCCCGACATGCGCCCAGTAGCCTCCGTCGCTCCTAACTGCATCACAGTGGTTCCGCTGCATGGCGCGCTGCTGCGCACGATCTGGCCACCACGGTCGGGTGGCGCTTCGAATCGTGCATCCTGGGGGCAGCGCCCGCCCGACGACAGCTCCGACGTTTCCGATGGCGACCTGCGTGGCGCCGAACCAAATGGTGAATCCGACCGCGACCCCGACCTGGCGTCCGACCGCGACAGCGGATCATCGCCGCAGCAGGAGGAGTCCGACGACAGCCCGACCAGCGACGACGGCGACCCTGCTGACATGGTCGATGGCAGTGGCAACGGCGGGGGGAATCATACTGACGGGAGCGGAGGCGATCCGCCTCCGCCTCCGCCGCCGCCGCTGCCGCCGCCTCCTCCTCCGCCGCCGGAGGATCCCCCGCCTGGTGGCGGTGGCGGCGGCGGAGAAGGCCCTCGCGGGCCTGTTGGGCCGCGGCACATGGCGAATCCAACGGTGCATGTGCCTGGCGGTTTCATTGTTTTTTATGCATCGTCTCAAGATTTCTACGGTTACTGCGGCAACCGCGAGGAGCACGGCAGATGCCAGATCACGCGCACTGCGCGCCCTGGGCGTAGAGCGGCCCAGGGCAGGCCATTGGGTTTCATTGCCGCTTGGCTCGCCCAGTGTAGGTGCCCAGCTTTCCTTGCGAAAGCGCTGCACCTGCGCGCCTGCCAGCCCGCGTTTGCGGAGCGCGCGGCGGCGCGCCAGTCATTAGAGCAGTTGCCTGACGCTGAGGCCCTGCTCAGGGAGGAGCGGCCGCTGCGCGACGGAGAGGGCCCCGAGCCCGTTTGAGCACTGGAAGTGGGCATGGTTACCATCATCTTCATCATCATCATTCAGCATCATGCACCTACGGTTTTATCCATCATCCGCTGCTTTTTCCTCCTCCTCGTTTTCCCTCTGCTTCTCCGCTACTTGTCTCCCGCTCTAGACTTCCTCATTTTGGCGCAGGGCGTGCTTGAATAATGCCTGCGGCAATTTCCGCCACCCGTTCGGGCAGTGCTCAAAGGATGTCTGCGGCACGTTCCGCCACTCTTTCCAGGTTTTCTCTGCGGGCAATGAGGTGCCGCGGCTTATGTCTTGATGTAGACACTACAGCCCCGATCCTGATATTCACGGTTGTTTGTTGTTGTATCAATCAGTGTTTTTCTCCTTCCCTCCCCCCCTGCCCGTTTCGTTCCTTCGATCCTCATTCGGCGTTTCCTACCCGATTTCATCGTTGTCATCCTTCTCAGCCTGTAGATCCTCATCCAGCCTCCGTGTTCCGCCCAACTCCGTCGCTTGTTCTGCTCCCAGCGGCAACAATTGGAGCTGCGGAAGTCCTGCAAGGCCCCCGCGAGGGCACAACAGCGCAGTTTCTGATCGCATCTGGATCACAGGTGTGGTCTCTGTGTGTCGAAGGGCATATGTTAGGGCTTCCGTTGTGTTTCTTGCTGTGCCGTTTCAAACATAACCCCCTTGCGGGGCCGTCGGTTTCTGGAGGTCCACGTTGGGGTTGTGAGCAACGCAAAGGCTGTCACATCGCGGGCCGCGCCGTTAACGTAACGGCCCTTGGGCGCCGAATGGCATGTTGTTTGGCGACGTGGTCACCTTTGAAACGTAGCGTTTTTTGTTTGGTTGATTTGGCAATTGGGGGGCTGTGCGCGTGGCGACAGCGCGACGCTGTCGTTATAGCGTTATGTCCTTTCCGAAACGAGCCACGCGTGTAAGTTAAAGCAGCGCGCGGCAACGATCATGTCTATAATCGTGCTTGCCACGTTGTACGCAGAGAACATGACAACTGTTGGAGCGCCGCTTCGGAGGGTACCAGCGGTACGAAGAATACTGCACATGCTCGTTGAAGGAGGGGTGCGAGCACAATCGCACAAGCGACGTGCCCATCCGAAGCAAACTATGTCAGCGTTACCCGAGCAATTGCTCCTACGGTGTTGCAACCACAGTAAGCATTTCGAATGGCCCGCCTCGCGTCGCTCGTTGAACGCTAAGGCAGCGCTGAAGCAGTGGTCCAGCACGGCTACATTGCACCATTAGTAGCAATAGTGGCAACAGTAGTCGTAGAAGTAGTCTTGGTAGTAGACGTCGTAGTAGCAGCAGTAGTAAAACATATAAGTAATACGGTCGCAAATGGAATGTTATGGGTCGTCGTAGTAATCGCAGTTGCCGCAGTGGTGCTATTGATGATGCGAATGGTAACGACCGAAGTTATTGACATCAGTAGCTGCCGTGGTCGTGGTATGACAGAACTACTTGTTACTAATGTTACACATTGCAGTAGTGATGGTAAGCATAACTCTAGCTGTCGTCGTAACAGCAGTAATCGCAAAAGTCGCAGTAGTAGTCGCTGTCGTAGTGGTAGCCGCCCACGCATTCGACTTTACCCAAGATGGGGTAATGCATGCTGGTAAACAGGAAGGCGAGTATAACGAACCTGGCGCTGAGAGACGTTGTGCGACCGCGCTGGCGCTTGCGGGCGACGCGCCAGCGCGATCCCATCCACGCGCGCGACGCGTGTTATCGGAATCCGATCTCCTGGGCGGCGTGATTCACATTGCGGGCCTGGCGCGAAGACTCTGATCGTCGGGTTTTTCGTCTGCGGTGACACAACTGGCGCTGCGCTGCGTGCCCCGCTGCGCCCGCTGGCATCGCTGGCCACGCGCTAGCGTCGCTGTTCCCCCCGCCGTTGTCGTGGCGGCATCCGCCATTAGTTGCGCGACGAACGGCGCGTGTTTCTTGTAGGCCCAATGGGTAACAGTGTCATTCTGGGTAGCGTTGTCGTCGGCATTAGTAATGCACCATTCGCATTGTGCTCGTGCGCGCCGCGGCTGCTGTTTTTGAAAATGGCTTCAGGTTGCCACCCCCCCGCCCGCAGCGGGCGCCGCAATGCGCGCAGATGCTCGCATCGTTGGCGCCCGTGGGGCTGCGAGTTCCGCTGCGCGGAAAATGTTGTTTCGCCGTTGCGAGCGGTAACTAACTGAATCGCAGAGACGTCGGTTGATGTCGCCATCGAACAAGACGAACGCATCCTGTTGTGACCTTTGCATACTGCGATCGCTAAGCGCGGCGGCTGCTATTTCAGTGGCAGCGGCGCAATTCCCGACTGCAGCGGCATTACCGCCAGCGTTGCGTTCGTGATTGTGTCGTGCGCAAGGCGGTTCGGTGGCATCGGGCGGCTTGTTGAAAATGATTTTACGGCGCCAGCAAGCGCGAACTTGGGCTGCGATTCGGGTTGTGAATCCGTCTTGAAACGTCTGCTTGTTTCCTAAGTCAATTATAGCATCGCGTTCCGCGCGGGCGTCCGTTCATCGCGCGCTGCCAAGGCAGGGGCGAGCAGCTTCGTGAGTGTCGTTGCATGCCTCCGTGCTTCCGCCTTGAAAGGCGAGTCTCACATTTGGTTTTAGGCATGCGCGCCGCAACGGACGCTGTCACCCGCGCGCGTTGCGCGCGCGCGGCTGGACCAGATGCGAACGCCGATTCGTGTAGTATGTCCACCTTTGGGCACTGGAAACCAAACGCAGCCGCGACGGTCGTCGGCGCGGCGACATCGCGATGCCAGCGGGAAACATTGCCCGCCGCGTCTCCCTTTGCATGGCTGTTTTCATTTACAGAGCTGCGCGGCGTTAGCAGGCGCGCCGCCGCCATTTGACGAAACGTCGGCAGCGCCCGCCTGAACCAGCGCTCCGCATGGCGCGCGCCATCGCGCGCGTGGGTTCTAGTTCTTCATCGAGAACGACAATGTTGTTTTTGGTAGCGCTTGCACGGATTAGCGCGGTTTCGTGGCGGCGCTTGCAAGAGCCACGGGGCGCTCTAGGGCGCGCTCGCGTGGATGGCGCCGCGACGCGCGCGAATAACTCTCACTCGTCCTCTCCCGCGCCCCATGTAGTTTCGGCTCGCCGGAATCCACAGCAGAAATGTGGCTGTGACGGGCAGCAGGCAGTTCCCTTGCTGAGGCGAGGCAGTTTCGTGGCTGAGCGAGGCTGCCTCTTTCCCTCTCTGCTGGATAACGCGTTGTGTTGAGCTGTAACCTATTCCAATCGGATTTGGAGTTCCTGCCCCTTGCCATCTCCTTCTCTTCCTCCTCCCATCAGTCCCCCGCTTCTGGCTCCTCCTCCTCCTCCTCCTCCTCCGCTTTCCCATGCACGGAAATACCCAGGCAAGCATTGTCACGGGTATTTTAGCTCCAGGTGTTTTTATGTTCTCAGGCCAAGGTTCTTTGCACGGGCTTGCCTGTTGCAGGTCGGCGTGGCGCCCCTGGCTTGCCTGGCGTCTCTCTGGCTCGCAAATAGGCATCGATAGCAGAAGCATCGAGCGTAGCGAAGCTAGCGCAATAAATAACGGCCCGCACCCACCCATTGTTGCAAGCGCGGTGGCGGATGGTCGGGACCGTGCTTGGTCCGAGCCTGTCTCGGGCGTGTGCATTGGCCACGCCCCACGGGGCGCTGCCATTCTGGCTGGCCAACCTCGCCCGCAGCCTCTCATTTCCTCCCCTCCCCGCGCCGCTACCATGACGACAGCGATGACCGGTCCTTCCATATTCCGCAAGCGCATGGCCTCCACAGAGGGAGCCATGTTTAGTCAGAGCCGTTGCTTGGGGCGCGCTGCATTCGTTTTTTGTCTATGTCGTCCTCCGGGGCTGTGCCGATCAAAATAGGAGATGTGGCGAGGAGCTGTTCCCAGGGAGCTGGGCCGGAGCTCCGGGGGGCGCAGGTGGAGCGGAGCAATTCGTGGAGGGTCTGGAGGTGCTCCCGGCCGGAGTTGACGTTAGAAACGCTCGTGGTGTCTTTCTTGATTTTTGTTTTTTTCCTCCAAAGCAATTTCAGTTTACGGCCAACCAAACGAAGCAAGCCACGGCAGCCCATAAGCATAAAAAGCAACGGCAGTGCAACACATAATCGAATTCCGCACGGCACAAACGATCATCCCCGAACGGAAACAAGCGCCTCCCAGAGCGAAAAATAAGCACGCAGTTGTTTAAACATTCAAGAAATATGTGTTTAACATCATCAAAGCTCCTGGCCCAGGTTTCCTTCGATTTTCACAGCGCTCTGGGGGCCCTTGGGACGTCCTGGCCTCGCGAGGGGTGCGCTTGGCCCCCGGGGCCTCCCAAAAAATCCTGGGGACGCTGTGGGCCTGGGGCACCTTTGGCTCCAATGCAGTCTCAGGGGGTCGTCTGGGGATCGCTCTTCCGCCCCTCCCTTTCCTCCATCCCTCCCGCCTCCCTCTCCCTCTTTTTTTCTCCTCATCCTCCTCCTTCCTCCTCATCCTTCCTCCTCTCTTCTTCGCCTCCTCCTCCTCCTCCTTCTCCCCCTCCTCCCCTTGGGTTTCGGAGGCTGCCTGACTGCGCTGGAGCTGGCGGGCGGAAAAGATACAGGTGCCCCCCCCCTGAGAGGTCGTCGACGCGCCGGTCTTTGCCAAGACTTCTCGTGTCGCCCGAGGTGTGTCGGGAGGAGGAGGAGGAGGAGGAGGAGGAGGAGGAGGAGGAGGAGGAGGAGGAGGAGGGCGTCCATGACAGGAGGCACGTCAAGCAAGCCGGGCTGCCAGCAGGTGCCCTCGGACGTTGCTCATCCCCCGATGGCGCTGGGGACCCGCAGGCGCCCGGGGGCACCATCCGGGAGCTCTCAAAGCTCGACGACTCACACGCGTGTGCAAGTCTGCTACAGGGTCCAGCCGGTATTGACTAGTACAGGTTGGCGTGGACATGCACTCTCCAAGGTCTGCGCGGACTTCTCGGAGGGGCGCTTGACCTCTCTGGCGGCGCCTCCCGTGCTGCCCCTGTCGCGCCCCGCGCGCCAGGCAGGGGGTCCAGCGTCGACCCAAGAAGTCCGCGCGAACCTCTGGGAGTCTGTCTCTTTGTCGAGGTGATTCTCGCAGGCCTAGAGATTGACCCCAACACCAATATCGGCGGTGTGCATCCACCGAGGGAAGACGATCCCGATCTCGGTGATGGTGGTAATATTCTGGCTTCCAAGGTGACCGAAATATTACCACCAACACCGAAATCTAAGATCATCACCTCCCTGTGGAGGCAAACCCCTGTGCTGGTGTTGGTGCCAATTTCCAGGCCTACAAGTTCGAACGCTAGGCCAACATACTGCACAGGGGGACGAGGCGAGCGAGTCTGAGGATTACAAGCCGGTCGCTCTGCGGTAGATCGGGAGTTTCTGCACATAGAAGAAGGGACGCGCGCTTCTCGGCGAGAGGAAAATTTAAATGGTCGAGATGAGAATGAGCGCGAGGATCAGGAGGGCGAGGCCCGCGAGGGGGAGGATCAGGAGAGCGAGGGTCACGCGGGCGAGGATCAGGCGAGCGTGGAGCAGGAGAGGGTGAGGATGTGGAGAAGGAGAGCCAGGAGAGCGAGGATGGCGAGAATGAAAATCAGGAGGGTGAGGATCGGGCGGGCGTGGCGCCCCCAGCTGCCATGCTGGCAATCTCCTCCTCCTCCTCCTCCTCCTCCTCCTCCTCCTCCTCCTCAGGGTGCTTTAACTCCTCCTCCTCCTTCTCCTCCTCCTGCTCCTCCTCCTCTTCCTCCAATGCCTCCTCCAACTCGACTCGTCCTCCTCCACCTCGTCCTCCTCCTCCGTCTCCTCCTTTTCCTTTTCATCCCTCTTTTTCCCCCCAGGGATTTTCCGGACGTCGCCTGAAACAGAACAGGGGGGCCTCTGTGGGCCACCTTGGGGATTCGAGACTCACGGGGGCCGAGTTTGTCTAGATGTCCCACGTGAGGGCGCCAGTTTGGAATTCTTCGCCAGATTTCCATGACTCCGCCGGATTTCCGAGTCTCGGCGCGCCGTAAACGGAGGCCTGAATTGAGGAGGCTGCGGGGGGCCGTTGTCCGGATGTCCCCGCGAGGAGCCAGAATTCGTCGCGGATTTTTCCGGATTTCCCGGACCTCTCCAGAATCGTAGCAGGATACTTTCTGAGAGCTTCTTTGGGGAGGCTCCAGGGAACGGTTTTTCTGAGGGCGGGCGCCAGTTGTTTGGGGTTCGTCGCCTGCTTCGCCGCGTTTCCCGGATCTCGAATGACACGGAACAGAGAGGCGGATGAGGCTCTGGGGACGGTTTTCTGAGGTTGTCCCACGCGAGGGCGCCGGTTTGGAATTCGTCGCGAAATTCGCCGGATGTCCCGGATTTCCGAAATGTCGCTGGCGAGAAACGGAACAGGGGGACCAGGGCCTCTGCGGAGGCTCCAGGAGGATGTTCCACGCGAGGGCGCTGGTTTGGAATTCGTCGCCCGATTCACCAGATTTGCCAGATTCGCCGGATTATGCCTGAAACGGATCAGGGCCCATGGCAGGGGTCTCTGAGGGCCTCCTTGGGGAAGCTTCGGGAGCGGTTTCTCTGAGGATGTCTCACGCGAGGAAGCCGGTTTGGAATTCGTTGCGGGATTCGCCGGATTTTCCGGATGTCGCCTGAAACGGGAAAGCGGTGCTTCGAAGGCCTCCTTGGGGAGGCTCTGGGAGCGGTTTTTCTGAGGATGTCCCACGCAAGGGCGCCAGTTTGGAATTCGCCGCCAGATTTCCCAGATTCGCCGGATGTCCCAGACGTCGCCTGATACGTAACATTGTGATGGAAGACGCCTCAGAGAGGAGGGGTTCAGGTAGGAATCGCCGAATTATGAAAAAAAATATGAAACAAATACGGAAAAAAATGTGAACTCATGAAAACATCAAATTGTACAAAAAATGTCTACGCGATTTTCGAAATTGCGAGAGCCAAGATTGCTCTGCTCGCGCGACCACCGCATGAACGCGAGGGGGTAAACCTTGTTGGACGTTTTCGGCTACAAACCCTTCCGCGAGGCAATGGTCAGCGCGGAAACTAGTATGCCGTTTAGTAGGTCATTTGCAGAAATGAAATGTTTCGACAATTGAATAGGGGCCGCGCGATTCCGACGCGAGGTAAGCAACGCTCTCGTCCGCTGATGCAGTTACGCCAACTGCTACTAGAACTCGCCCTCCTCCTGCCAAATGCCCGAAATGGTCGACACAGTAATACGGCACTTCGCTGCAGCTACTTTCCTATGCGCATACTCCCTCGGCGCGCAGGGCCCTGCCAGGATCAAACTGCGACGCGTTGACTGCGCCGCCCTGCTGCCTTGGTGGCGCTTGTGGCATTATCCGCGCGATGCCTTTAACATCCTCGTCGGTTTAGGGACAACGCTTGCGGTTCGGCTGCATCGCCTGCAGTCGACCTGGCACCATCTTGGGTTCGCAGCTTCATGTTTGCCCTGAACCTTGCGGCCAACGCTCTCGCAATTTGCGATGGGCCTTCGACGTCGCCCCCGTGCCCAGCAGGCGTTCGCCTGGGCACCTTGCGCACGAACGAAGTGCGCGCTTGTGTTGAAAAGTTCAGGACCCTCCATCCAATGTGGAATCGGCAATGCCTCACGTTGCCCTGCGCGGTCGAGGGCCATGGTTCCTCTGTTTGCGGGGCCTGCGCGTTCCCACTAGACATGGGTCCTTCAACCGCGCGTTCTGCGCTCTTGTCCTCAAGCGCCTGGCTCCGCTCGAAGTCGGGATGTGGGGGGCTCGCGGCGTGGCAGGGTCGCGTGGGGTGGTGGTCGGGCGGGGGGGGGGGGGGGGCGCGATCGGCGCGCGCTGTTTGTGCGGGATGGCGTTCGTTTTGTTGGTGCGTGGCATCGTTTTTGGCGGGCGTTGGGGGGGCTCACAGGGGGGGGGGGCGGTTTGTGGTGGTGGTGCGTGCAAGTGCTGTGTTGCACGTGCGGTTGAGGGCGCGCGCGGCTTGCGCGCCGCGTGCGCGTTTGGCATCGCGCGTGCGCGTGGGGGGGGGGGGGGGGGGGGTGGGGGGGGGGGGGGGGGGGGGGGGGAGGGGGGGGTGGGGGGGGGGGGGGTGGGGAACTCTTTCCATGGGTTGGTGGTCTGCGGGAGGTGCTGGGGGGTTGGGCTGGGCGAGCGCGTGGCGGGGTCAGTTTTTTGTGGTGGCGGTGGGCGCGCGGGAGGAGACACTTGGCTGTGACCATTCTGCGGCGCGCGTGCTCCCTCAGTCAGTATCGAATCATTCGGCCACAAGGGCAAGGGTGCAGATATTGGGTTGCTGAGGGGGGTGCGATTTTGTTTTGTCGTTTGTTTTTAAATTCTGCAAGGCGGAGGGGGAGGAAATG